GATTGTGAGAGTGTTTGAGGATGGTTGGAGTGAATTGTGGGGTTGTGAATCCCAGGATTTGTTGTGTCTTGAATGTGGAATGGATGTGGTATTTATAGGGAGAGGGGAGTGATAAATCTGAATTCAATATGGCTAATGCATACAACACTTGTATTATAAAATCTGAATTGGTTGCTGCACTTCACCAATAAATCCCACCAGCAGCCCTAGCTCATCTTCATGTCAGCATGACCAAGCTTCCAACCAGAAACAATAGCTCATGCCTAGCTCACCATGACCAAGCTTCCAACCAGCTCATCCTCATGTCAGCATGATGAACAACTTCTTGGGCTTACAAATTGGGCTAGGCTGAATCAAATGACGACTTTAAGATATCCATTGTGAAGTTCAGAATGTCTCTGATCCAACCACACAAGCATTGGCCCAATCCAAGCTCGGATGAAGAAGATAAGTCCGAAATGAATTTCTAACTCAGTCTCCAGTTTTTGCATGTTTTTGCACCATTTTGCTTCAAATGCCTCAAGTGGTACCTAGAGCTCAATGAATTGAATAACAAACACAAAATGGATTAAAAGCACAAGTTTTACCTAAAGCACTTCTCTAGAGCTCCCTTCCCTTATCTCTCTCAAATTCTTTTAGTTTCCCTTTGTAGTTCTCAATTGTTGTAATATGATCTTTTTACTAAATCTTCAAACACTTCCCAAATATTTCTCTATTCTCTTCAAAAGTCTCCATGTTCTTGAAACACTTCTTAAACACATTATCTTCCAAACATTCTCCAATTCCTCAAACACATGTCTCTTCTCTTCCAAAATCCTCAAAGCTCTCAAACACATTTTCTTCCAAAAGTCTCCAAATTTCCCAAACACATTTCCCTTCTCTTCCAAAAGTCTCCATGTCTTCAAACACTTCACAAACACCTTTCTCTCCCTTCCCTAAGTTCTCAAATTCTCCAAGTTCACAAAATCCTCAAGCTTCCCAAACACCTTCCTTTCCCTTCCAAAATCCTCAAGCTTCCCAAACACCTTCCTTTCTCTTCCAAATTCTCAAGTTCTCAAACACCTCTCTCTTTCTCTCCAAAAATTCTCCATGTTCTCAATTCTTGTACAAAACCATTTTGTTTCTTAGTTGAAAACTAAATAGGATCATTCAATCACCAATCCCTGTAGAATCAACCTCGCACTTACATACGCTAAACTACCAACGGTTCGTGCACTTGCGAGTATCACAAGTTGAGGATGCAGCTGAATCCATTTTGGTGCAGCTGAATCGACGCAACAGAGACATGGTTGTGATGGCTAAGGAATGGCTAGGATGACCACTAGAATGCTTGTAGCAGCCAAAGGAAGGAAGGAAAGTGGTCTGATGGTTGCTGGGGTGCTTGAGTAACCAAGAGATGTTGGTCGATGGTTGCTGGGATACTTGCAACAGCCAAAGGATGGAGGATGATGGCTCAAGAATGACTGTGATGGCTGCTAGAATGCTTACAGTAGCTGAAGAAATGTGATTTCTCATGGTTGTTGAGAGGCTTGTAGCAACCAATAGAGGTTGGTTTTGGTTGGGCAATGCCTCCCAATTTATAGAAGGTAAAAGCTCTCTTTGGTTTCCAATATGTAAAAGGAAGTGTTGGAGTTAGTCCATTTCCAACGGATAAAAGGAGGCATTGAGACATTCTAATTTCCAGCAGGTAAAGCTAGGCATTAGAAAATAACTATTTCCTATAGGTAAAAGGAAGTGTTGGAATTGACTTGTTTCTAGCGGGTAATAGGGAGCATCAGGACATTCTTATTTCCAGCAGGTAAAGCTAGGTATTGAAAAATGACTATTTCCTATGGGTAAAATGAAATGCTTGAAGAATATCTCATTTGCCTACCCACATTGGAGAACTCCAAGTAATGGGCTTGGACTTTGGTGCTCTCAAGTAGCTAGCCCAAAGTCTCCATTATCCAAGAGCTTCCGTGGGCCTTGTGGACCTCCGTAACCTTCTACACCATTAATCAACATGACAGCAAACTAGCAGTTTTATTACCATAGACTGGAACATTATAGGGGATAGACATGCATTAGAAATAGGATGTCATAGAAATTAGCAGTATTATTACCCTAGACTGAAGATTACAAGGGTAGACATGCATTAAAAATAAGATGCCATATGAAACTAGCAGTGTTACTACCCTAGACTGGAACATTACAACCATTAATTAACGTGATAGTAAAGGTGTGGAACATTACAATCATTAATCAACATGACAGTAAAGGTGTGGAATATTATAGCCATTAATCAACATGACGTGTTAATGAAGCTACGGTTTTTGAGACGTTTTGTTTGTAATGAATTGTTTGAGTTGTTTTATAAAATTGGGCTGGGCTTGTTTTGAGTTTTTTTAAAAAGTTTTTTGTGTTGGGCTTTTTATAAGTTGATTAGTGGCAGTTACGTAATTTATAGGAAACACTAATTTCTTATGTACTAAATGAATTTTGGGTGTGTTTGGTTTTTTTAATAATTTCAGCCTTTATTTTGAGTATATTAGTGAAGCTCCCTTTTATTTATTGTCTTATCCAAAAGAAAAAAAAATTACATTTTATTGGAGCTCTGGCCCCAAATATCTTGGTCTTGCAGAAATGGGCCAGTCAATCAATCAAAGGAACACACTAGCCCATAATAAAAACAATAGGTAGCCAAAACGACGTCGTTACCATGTAACACCGAGGAAACCCTAAGTCAATAAATCTCTCCCCCTCACATATCACCCTCTTTCACTCGCACTGCCTCCCGCCCGCAACCCGCCTCTCTCTCTCTCTCTCTCTCTACCCTCTCCTTCTCAGTCGCTGTGTTCCGATCCAATGGTACGGACCAAATTCCTTTCCAGATTGATCGCCATCTGTTTGTGAAAATGTCTCTGACAATCTAGAGTTTTTAATTTCAGGCACCGAAGAAGGACAAGGCACCGCCACCGTCGTCGAAGCCGGCAAAGTCTGGAGGAGGCAAGCAGAAGAAGAAGAAGTGGAGCAAAGGAAAGCAAAAGGAGAAGGTCAACAACATGGTGCTCTTCGACCAGGGCACGTACGACAAGCTCATTGCTGAGGCACCGAAATATAAGCTCATCACACCCTCCATTCTCTCCGACCGTCTCAGGATCAATGGGTCGCTGGCGAGGAAGGCCATAAGGGATTTGATGGCCAGAGGGGCAATTAGGATGGTTTCTGCTCATGCCAGCCAGCAGATCTACACCAGGGCCACCAACACCTAGGTCTTCTTGTTTTCTGAGGTTATTATGTCGTTTGGGTGATTATTATGTCGTTGTAGACTATTTAGCGTCCTTTTTTATATTTTCATGCCAGTTTTGTTTTTCTTTTTATGGTTAATGAGACTTTGATTATTCAGGATCATTACGCATTAGCTTGCTAGTAGATTATAAATCTATTCAAATAGTGAGAAACCGTTGTTCTTCTTTGTGGCTTTTTCCGTGGTTTCGTAAACTTTTTTGTCATTCCAACCTTATAAGTTGAAACAATATTTGCTTATACATCTATATAGATTGCATTACCCTTACGTGTTACTTATGAGTTCATCCAGTTTGACAATGCTGCCAGAAAAGTAGGCAAAATATGCAACCTACTGATGTCATCTCTCCCTTCTCCCTCCTTGTTGCTCCTCTCTTTTCTCTGAAGATCTCAACTCTTTTTTTCTTGACATCAATATATTTTCTTGTTCTTTTAGATTCTTTAAACTACGTATTGTCTACCCAATTTCGTGTGCTTTGGATTTAGTTTTCTGATTCTTTTTCCGCCAGAGAGATAATATAGTGCTATGTGTTTGAAGCTAACAAGAGAAGAGATGTTTTACTGATTTAAGTACTTGCACTAGGAGTCTAAAATGGTGTATTAAACGCGAATGATGCTTTGGAACTGTTGTATGGCTGACGGTGAACTATAACTGTTTATTTGTGCAAAGCAAACCCTAGTTAGGTATATAGTGTGATGATTGATGTAGAAGAGCTCAGAAATTTTGTGGGAGTGTAGAGTAAGATTCATATTTTGAGTAGTTTTAAGGACTATGCGTAGCAAGGTGCAGAAGGAAAATGTTTTCAGAAGTTTTTATAGGTTAAAACCTAGCATGAAGTTTTCTGGTGCAGCAATTGGGTAAGATGTTGCTGGCTTCATAGATTTGGGGTTGGGATAAATATGGATTTTAGGGTTTTAATAAAATACATGATGAGAGGCTTCTTCACGGTTTTAGGTTGGCTGCCTCTAGCAGACACTATCCATTTTTCAGGTTCTGAAATTGCCTGCCTCTAGTAGATTGGTTGATACTTGGATTTCCCCGATTGCATTTTACTTCGTCTTGTGAGCCAACATTGATTGCATTTTACTTCGTCTTGTGAGCCAACATTAAATATATATTTTTTATGCCTATTTTGTACCCATTAACAATTTAGAATTATAATATATCATTAAATGCATTTTTTTATATTTTATTTAATGAGTATAATTGAAAAATTATACAATCTTTGTTTTCCATTCCTACTCAAAACATGGGAAAGGAAATAAAGTGATATCTCCTGTTTACTTCCTCAACATTACCAAACGTGAGAAATGAATCTTCCATTGGAAGTGATTTTCTCTCAAATTCGTTCCGTGAACCAAACGGGGCCTAAGGAAAAAGTTTGCCTCAGTTAATTTACCCAAAACATAAATATATGAAACTGATTTTTGTCTATCTTGAATTACAACTTACAAGCATACAACAAAAATCAAGCTTACATCTCAAGCAATATAATGACAATGCCCGAGTCATCTAGACCCATCCTACCACACATGCCCAATTTACATACAATAATGCTGACGGGAACCGAAACAATGCTATGCAGCAGGGGCATTAAACTTTATAGAAGGGCTACTACAGTTTGATTTTAATTTCTCCTGTAAAAAGCTGAAGTGAATGCTTTCTCCTGTTCATCGGCGCTTCAATTGTATCATGAAATCGAAGTACGATGTACACGGTCTTTGTGTGAAACCGGAATGAGTTGTTCTACAGTTCTTGAGACAAATCTGACATTTGGAAGATGAAGAGCTGCGTGATACTCCTCTTCATCGAACTCTGCCTGTTTTAATGTTCCCATATAACTCTCGGTAGCTGATCTTGGATGACCCCTTGCAATGGAGACCTGCGATTTTATGGAAAACTGTTACACAGCGGGAAAATAATTGCCTCGTGCCAATAAAATTAGTATGCATAGCCTTGGTTCAGATGGTAGGATGGCGAAGGTCGAGCGGTAAAAAAGGCCTTAAGTTTGACTCGTCCCCAGTGTTTGTGCATGCATATTCAGATTTTGTTGCATTCCATCGATATTCTTAGCAACCCAGGTATTCATTAAGTAAGAACTTTGGATTAAACCAGAAGAGTTTTGCTTTATAAGGTGTAATTAATCTAGCACTTTTTACTGTCTTAGATAACTAACAATTATGCAACCAAAAAAAAGCCAAAAACCTATGGATGCCATAGATTACCAACGAAACTATGTAACCTTGAAAACCAAAATGGCATCTCAATGAAAACAAAGAAAGAAAATTAACAAGGGACTTACCAAATGTCCCTTTCCTAGCTCAAGAAGCCAAAAGCGCCATTCTTTCATAGCCTTCCCCTCAACATTAACAGAGATGTTTGTCCAGCAACTGTGATGAAATTCCACTCTGTCCAAACCATATGCCACTCCACTCCCAATCGCTTTGACATAAGCTTCTTTCAGACACCAATATCTACAAAACACACTATAAATCATCAGCTACTCAAATCTTTGGACCTCTCCCGCATGCTGCTTGCTGCTCCGATAAATAAACATGATTTTGCCAAACCCTAATGATTCACCTGAACATTCAAGTTCAACGCATATTTAATCAACTTGTATTGAAAGGTTTCTACTCTAAAATACCTGTGAACTTATCCCAACAGATAAACAGAGTGAATATGCAGTAAAAAAATTCAGGCAAGGTATGCTAGCCATATCTAAAAGAGAATCAAGCCACACAGAAAACTGCAAAACTGTGACAGGTAGATGTTCTGACAAAGATACTGAACTTTATTCCATAATTTTAAACTCAAGGGAGATTTTACATGAAACCAATAATGTTAGATGAGATAGGAAACAAAGTCTTTCTTTCTTCCAGTAGTTCTCTAGTGGGTCACTCAGATTTACAGAAAGAGTATAAGTGCACAAATCATAAGTATATTGAGATAAGAATATCTGACAAGGAAACAACAATGACAAGCTATAACTTACAACACAAAAGTTTTTTATGGAATAAATTTTCACAGAATGTCAGGAAACGATTTACCTGTAAAACTCAATCAGAATATCATCAGATGTGCCAGCATTGACTATACTATCCCATTCAAAAGTTGAAAAGTATGAGGAGAAGTTTTGAATAAACTCTATAACCGTCTCTTTCTGAGGAATGACTATGGAAACAATGTCCACCCCGACAAGGCACAAAGGTTCGGACGCTATAGCAACATAGTCACCATGATGAGATGCATTGAAATTAAAATTTGGAAAATCTGTGCAAACATCACCACATTCCTGAAAACAAAGACATTATGCAGAGTGTAGTGAACAAGATATTAATGGTGGATGTACAAGCAAGGAAGGTACAAGAATTGTGCCAAGAAAAGGATGTAAAATCAATTCTTGTAAACACATAGTTGGAACTTAAACATAGTATGCAGAACAAGATATTAATGCCGGATTCCGTGACTTCAATACATATTTGGGTCTCCATCAAAACCAATTTCATTTGGATAAAACAAGAATTGGCAAGTTTAATCCTACATACCAGAAATGGTTTGCCTTCCAAGGTGCGCTTAATGATAATTTCATCATAGGGAATTGCCAAAACTTCATTTACAAGAGCATATTGAAGCAGCCGGCTCACAAGTGCCCGCTTCCTGTCTCCCATCTGTACAAATCTACCAATGTCAAAATACAATGCATCTCTGTTAACTGTCTCAACAATTCTTCCTAAGCTCAATCCATTATCATTTTGCTTTCTTGGATGCTAATTTTAACATCAAAACTCTAGTGGAAATTTCCCGTTTCATGTATTGATTTTTTTATTATAAAAAAGGTTCAATCATTTATCAGACAAGTCTCTTTGACTCTGCCAAAAGCAAGTGCCAAGTTTGGTTCATCTATATTACTTGCAAAAGGCATAAAATAACACAAATATATGGCACTAAGATTGTAGACAATACTCATTTACTTCGATCACTATTGGGTTTTCTTCTTGCTAGGTTTTGTTGGAATCCAAAAAAAAGAAGAAAAAAGACAGCAACTAAAAGAAAGAGCAAGGGAAAACCTGGTGACAGAGGGTTGCTCAACTGAAGGAAGAACAGAGAGAGCAAAGGAGAAATCTTGGGGAGATGGGTCCCACCCTGATATGTCCACAACCCATCTCTGTACCCCTCTCTCCATCGTTATGCAAAGACCTACCAGACAAGAACTGAGCTTAGAGGAAAAGAAAAAGCCCATGGAAAATGCTCTACAGAAGAACTCTGTCTCTTTCGTTTGGTGGGGCTTAGTTAAGCCGTTGGATGTTCCCAACGGTTGAGATTATAACAACCTAACTTCATATACAAATTTGTCTTATCTCTGTAGTTTGCCCAGGGTCCAAAGATGACCTTTCGGCTTAAAAAAAAACCACCCGATTTGCAAATAGAACCCGACTCGAAATATTATTTTAAAATAAAACTCGTTCAATCAAATCAACGCAACAATAGGAAACACTCATCTTCTCCGCGGGTCTCTCTCAGCCTAAGAAAAACGAAGCACTCTCACTCCTCTTTTCCTTTTGCCGTTGGGTTCCATTTCCTCTGCAACAAGGAAGCTCTCTTCCGAATCCAGGTTTGTGTTCTCAATTGTTCTTCTGCTTTGTCAATTTCTGGTGCTTTTTTTGTTGGGATTAAATTAGTGTCTATAATTCAGGGGTTTACTCTAGGGCTTTTGATTTCTTTTTCTCTGTGTTCCAAAATTATACCATTTGTTGTCATGGGTTTAAATTTCTGTTAATGTTTCTAAGGCATCTCCATTATCTGTATCAAGATTGTTCTTATAAAAAAAAAATTACAAATTTTATATAAAAAAAACTATATATCAATTTTGTGCAATTGGGGTGAGTGAGGATCATGTAAGGTCAGCAAAGTCAAAAATTTGATATCTATCAATTAATACAACAGTGAGCATCTATGAAAAAAAAAATTGATTTTCTTCTGCCACTTAAAGGGGAGGGTTAGGGATGGATTGCAGCATTGTTTTGTAATCTTCTTGATGGCTATAAGTCTGAATATTTCTTTGGGGAAATGAATAACATTGAACTCTTCTATATATTCTGTCAATTTAGATTCATATCCATGAGAGAGTGATTTTAAGTGAAATAATTTGAAGAAACTAACAATTCTAGGTAAAATTTATTTTATTGTAAATGAATATTTGATATATTATATTTATACAGAAAAAAACATTAACTTGTATCTTGCAAAACTAATAACTCATATCTAACGCTTATGTTTTTAACCGTTTATATTATCGTATCATCACTTCACCAAAACCCTCATTTGCCTTGTAGGCAGATATTGGCGTTACCAAATCAAAATGTATAGCTCAGCAGCGAAGCGGCTTCTCCATCTCTTTGGTACACCCTTGGGTAGCAGTACCAACCACCGTATTATTCGTTACCGCCCTCTTCAATCCCTCATTAGTCATTCTCACTTTTCCACAACTGTGAACTCTGAATCTTTCGTCAATCAAAGCCCCAACTTTCCAAACTCCACGTCGTCAACGGCCGATCAAATCCCTAATTTTTCAAATACCACGTCGTCAACGGCTGATCACACTAGGAGACCGAGAGCAGAATACCAAGATGAGCAAGCTCGTGTGCTCCAAGCCTCACTCCCCCATGTTATAAGGTTGGGATGGAGCGAAGCGGCGATGATTGCTGGTGCAAGGGATGTTGGTCTGTCTCCATCGATTGTCGGATCATTTCCAAGGAAGGAGGGTATGCTCGTTGAGTTTTTCATGGATGACTGTTTGCAAAGGCTTAGTGATATGATCGACTCTAGTACAGAGGAGTTAAAAAGTTTGATACCAAGTGAGAGGATCACAAAGCTTGTGAAGATTCGCTTGGAAATGCAGGCACCCTACATATCGAAGTGGCCACAAGCTCTTAGCATCCAGGCACAACCAGTGAATGTACCCACAAGTTTTAAGCAGAGGGCGATGCTTATGGATGAGATCTGGCATGGTGCTGGTGACGACACTGCTGATTTTCAGTGGTATGTGAAGCGGACTGTCCTTGGAGGTATATACTCCACAACCGAGATTTACATGCTTACTGATAATTCCCCAGATTTTTGTGATACATGGGCATTCTTGGATGATCGGGTGAAAGATGCTTTTGACTTGAAGAAAACCGTCCAAGAGGCAACATACTTGGCAGAAGCTGTTGGTGCTGGGATGGGGACTTCTTTGCAAGGATTTGTGAAGAGAGTCTTTCAGGGTTAAGATATTACTAAAGAATTATATTGCAAGCATCAGTCCTCTCTCTGGTCAGTAAACTTGGATGAGATACTCTGTTACGACTTTACTAAAGAATTATATTGCTAGCTCAAATTATTGTAAATATTTTCCTTCTCTGCTGAAGCCTGAGTTGAGTTTAGTTGTCCATTGCAAGATCCATTTCGTTGTCAATTGAAGCTTCATTTAAGCTCTCAGGGTCCAGTTTTAAGGTATTGCACATTTTTGGTACTTTCTGTAGTCTGTTGAATTCATGTTGCACGGGGCTTCTCCCTAGACCTGAAATAAATAAAAGGGGATTTACCCGGACAAGAAAATGGAGTGTAAATAAAGTGTATGAGTTTAAATTATGTATAACAAGAAAATACTGTACAAAATAAAAAATGTTTTTCATTAAAAATAATTACTATCATTGTATCAGGGTCTTTGACATTGTAATTCATAAATAGTACTATGTTAGAAGCTGTTCAACTATGATTGGAATGTTGTGGAACAACCTATGAGTTTTTTGCATCATGAGCCTCTGCATTTAGAATTTATGCATTTTCCCGCATTTTGCTTAATCTTAATCGTTGTAATAATCTAACTACTTATAACATGACATGTCAACTACCATCAGTTTAGGTTTAGTTTTAACACTCTAAAAAGTCTAATTTTACCCTTCAAGTAAAGTTAAAAAATTTGAAATTTGAAACTTAAAAATAACAAACCAAACCCAGCACTTCCTTCGAAAACCAAGAACTCCATTTAAAGTTGGTAACTCCTGACCAAGAGAAACCCCATTTAAAGGCCCTCCATGTGCCCGGGTTTGTGCTTCCACAAAGCGTTGATTCCTGTGTTTCTCTGTCCAAACTCATACAGAGAATTTACCTCGGAAAACCTTGTATTCTATGCTGCAAGATAGTTGGCTGAACCTTGTATTAATACGTTCTCAATTTTTTCTTCACAGGCTAAAGATACAGGGGAAGCCATGACCTAATCGATGGCAAAGCTAGTCCAAGAGAACATCAAAGTTGGCTGATCGTGGAGTGGTGGTGTGCCGATGCTACTAGGGGGTGGGTTTTATTATTAATTTTATTGAAAGGGTAAAATTGACTTTCAAAATGTTAAAAGAAAACCTAAACTTAGGACAGTTGACGTGTTATGTTATAGATTTTGAGATTATTACAATGACTAAGATTAAGTGAAATGCAGAAAAATGTGTAGATTCTAAATGTGAGGCTCGGAATTTGAGTTTATAAGCCTTATTTGGAAAAGTAAATTAAAATCAAACAAGCTTCCCACATAAAAGATAAGAGAACATATGAGCAAGCAAATTGGTCTTCCATATGTAATATTCTTTGAAGTTTTTTCGAGTATTCACTTCAGCCTTTGTATTTCAATGATTGCAATTAAAGACATGTAATTTACCTAAACTTACAATGAACTCTAATCCATTAAAATATGTCAATGAGTGGACAATTTTGGTCTAGTGATATTTATCTAAACTAAAATTAAAATGGATGAAGATTAGCATTGTTAGTACCAATGTATATAGCGACGAATAAAATTATTATGTTTTTTTTAAATATGTTTCCCAATTTTTTTCATTGCTTTAGCTCCTTTAGTTTAAAAACTGGAATCCCATTTGGGGTTTTAATTCCTGAACTTACACTGTTTTAAGAGTTATGCTGATGCAATTAGGCTGATAGTGTACACTCATAATCAATCATTAGATCATTTCATCAAGGAGAATGACATGTATGGATATAACACTCTTCTAGGGAATCTGATTGGTAACTTTGAAGATGCACAACCAAATCTCTGCAGACAATATCTCAACTATTTCCATTGTGGGATTTGAAGGATTGGGAAAAACTGCACTTGCCCAACTCATATTCAACCATGAGGAGGTTCAAAAGCATTTTGAGCCAAAAATGTGGACATGTACTCTCTGATTCATATCAGTTGGATATACTTGTTAAAAAAATATTCTAAAAGCTGAGAAGCTCGACAGGGATGAGTTGCGAAAACTTGTTGATGGGTGGTGCAAGAGAAAGTATAATTCTAGTAACTACTCATAGTGAAATATTTGCAAAGATAACAAACTCAATTGAGTCTTATAACTTAAAAGGGTTGAATGAAGAGTAGTCTTGGTCTTTATTTAAGAAAATGTCCAAGAGGGAAAAGAACTAGAGAGTTCATCAATTAAGGCGCATGGGGAGGAGATTGCTAGAAAATGTCATGGGGTTCAACAATCTATCATTAGATCAGTTCATCAAAGAGCATGACATGTATGGATATGATATTGGCAGAAGGGTAGTGTTACTCTCGCACTACCAAGTCATTATAAAGGATTTAATCGAAAACATTTGGCAAAGGTCGTGAGGGAAAATAGACATAGGGGGATCTAGATAAGATGATTATTACAATACTAGATAAATATAAAGTGATGCTTCCAAGTTCCTTTCTATCTCCCTCTGTCTCTCACCCACTCACCGGACTCGAGCACCATCACCATGAGACCCTTCGGAAAATTATTTGCTGCTGCCGCCGAGGTTTTGAAGCTCACCGGCTCCCATGTAAAAAAGAACTACAAAAAAGAAAACCCCTGAACAACCACATGAAGAGATGACCATTAATATAAATCCAGATGACTATGAAAGCTCGGGGAAGTCACTGGAAAAAAAAAAGCCTATGTGTTAGGGTTTGTTGACATTGTTGCTGGAACCGTTGATCTAACTCTACTCGGCGCTTCTTTCCTCTCCACTTTGGTGAGGAAAGAACCTGGAGCGGCACCCAAGAACTTGTTTGAGAAGCTCATCTGGGAGAACCTTGTTGAGGACTTCGTAATGATATGTGACAACAATAAAAAAAAATAAAAAAAAAATCCATGAAATGTATTGCGAGGTGCTAAATTGGCGTGACGCCATTTATGCAACCCAAA